CTGTTTTTAACTCCTCGTTTTATTCATTAAAAAAACCCTTTCACATGAAAATTTCTCCTGGACTGGCTATGTATTGAGAGGAGTATTTACCTCTTCCTTTCCTTTTCTTTTCTCAGAAGGATTTAAGACAAATAAATTTATTCTGGGAGTAGATTGTTTTCTACCTAATGCAGATTATCAAGTCATGTGGTAATTGAAATCTAGTCACAATTAACTTTACTATTTGACAAGGAGTTAGCTAAAACTGAAAATAATATACTCATAATCTCTGAAATACATTACAATTTTTAAATATGTTATATGTTTGCTACGATATCAAGTAACAATTGGAAGGCCCAGCTTGAGTTTTTTAGTCTTTCCTTCCCTGGTATGGTATGGTGAGCCGGCGTATGTTAGTCAAGACTAACACAAAACTTTCTTTGTTACGCAGGGGGTCACATTAACCCAGCAGTGACATTTGGACTTTTCTTGGCCAGGAAGGTGTCTTTGATCAGGGCTGTGATGTACATGGTGGCCCAATGCTTGGGAGCCATATGTGGTGTTGGGTTGGTCAAGGCCTTCCAAAAGTCTTACTACACAAAATATCAGGGCGGAGCCAACATTTTGGCTGATGGGTACAGCACAGGCACTGGATTGGGCGCTGAGATTATTGGAACTTTTGTCCTGGTCTACACCGTGTTCTCTGCTACTGATCCCAAGAGGAGTGCTAGGGACTCCCATGTGCCTGTATGTTCCTTTACCCTCTCACGTCTCTTCATTTTGTTTCTACCATTTGATTTTCTTGATGGGCTGCGCTGGCATAGAGAGGGCTATAAATTGTTGACCATATCCAACTCATTCATCGGAACTAGGGTGATTATCACCCAATAAGCAAGTGGTTAATAACTTAATCCATGCTTCTAGTAACTTAATTAGGTTTATCCCCATCATATTTATTTATTGATTTGTTGTTGGACCTTTTTGTTTAGATTACTAAGTAAGTATGTATTAACTATTGAATTCCAAAATCCTTTTCTTGACAAAGTAGCTCAGAATGTTTCAGGACATGTTCATCATTCAATGTCTATGCACAGGAAGAAAGCAAATAAATTCACTGTTCACATGCATTTCCATGGCATGCAATTAGCCATTTATTTTTTCTATAAAAGATAGTGGCACTAATTTATTTTCATTGGCTTGAACTCGGCAAAATGATTGTGTATTAAACTATTATCGAGGCTCTTAATTTCTAACTCAAATGAGAAGTTCAGTACTCAAGTAATGAAGTAAATGGAACTAGCATGCGCAACGACTTAACATGTAACTGGATTGCCATCATGATCCTTGCACATGGGGGGTGCCATCAAAGTTATCTCAATGCATTTGTCACCATTTCTTGTCTTCTTTTCTTTTTTTCTTGTCATAAAGAAGATTCTACCTTTTTCAATGTTGGATACATGTGTTCTGTATCCATGACTAGGAACAGTTTCCATCCTACTTTACAGAGTTTTTTTTTTATTTTTTACTTTAGCTTTTTTTTAAAAAAAAAGATAAAATAAATCAATATAAAAAATATTTAAAAAATAGTATAATTTAGATGATATCTTCTACTAGTTCTTAAAAATACTAAAATTCTAATAACAACATCACCAATATTGTTAGAAAAAGATATCTACAATAAGAGTCAAATAACACTGAGAAAGTTAACACAAATTAATTTTTGGGATGCATGTATTCTGTGTCCATGGCTAGGAACAGTTTCTATCGAACTTTACCTCAAAACAACGGTCCTCCTTTATTTTACAAATTTGGTCTTCTGTTAGTTTTACGTGAACAATCCGTTTTTGCATTCTCGTATACGGCTGGAGCAAAACGACTTTTGTAGATGTGCTTGATGTTATTTTCCTTGATGATCTGTATGCTGAACATGTTCATGCATTGTAGTTTTTGTTTTCATTGAAGTTTGAACCTCTTTGTTTTTTTAATTTGCCGTCGAGAAGGTTTGTATGTATATTATTCACAATTATTTATCTGATTTGTGTTTTGTTCTTAATTAATAGGTATTGGCTCCTCTTCCAATTGGATTTGCTGTGTTCATGGTACACTTGGCCACCATCCCAATCACAGGAACTGGCATCAACCCTGCTAGGAGTTTAGGAGCTGCTGTTATCTACAACAATGAGAAGGCCTGGGATGACCAGGTAAGCATCCACTAGATGCTACTACTGATTAATTAGTTGGCAATATTTATTTACTTCGAAGAGGGTACGTAATTTTTTTATTATCTTCTCTTGTAGTGGATCTTTTGGGTTGGACCCTTCATTGGTGCAGCCATAGCAGCCTTCTACCACCAATTCATCTTGAGAGCAGGAGCTATTAAGGCTCTCGGGTCATTCAGGAGCAACCCGACTGTCTAAACCTGGAGTCTTTTCAACATGAATAATGAGGAAGTGCTTGTGCGTGCATGATGGTTTCTTCGGCCCTTGGATTTCTCTTGTGGGGTTGGTGAAAAATGAGGGTTTGTGAATCATGGAATCTGTAGATAAAGTCTCTTTGGAAAAGGGAGGCTTTTATTATCCCTTGTGTCATTTTCAGGCACTTGCCTTGGAATTCACTTCAATGATATGTTTTCTTCTACGCACCTATTTTGCTTCTAAGAGAAGTCGAGGCTGTGTTTTCTTTTTTGCCTATTATTATAGTCACTTTCAAGTTTCTTCATCATTACATTTTTCCTGCTTTGAACCACTACTCAGATACCGAATCTTGGCATGCCCGGGCACTGCAAATGTAAACAACAGATAAATTATCGCCCCGTCTGTATTTATACTTTGCAAGTCAGAATTTCTCCAGTTAAGCTTGATCATTCATTAAGTGAACCGTGATTCAGCCAAAGCCAATGTAGCTAAAAGATAAAATGAAAGATTAGGGCATAACCACTCCATATCTTGTCTCCAATAAATAAATAACTAGCTTTGCACAAATCTTCCTGTTGATTTGTACAACTCGCTACAACTAGAACATTCAAGGGATTCAAGCTTGCGATTGCCACTCTACCACTGTGAATCTTCTTAGTCATTTTGTGACCACCAGTTAGCATTTTAAGTTGAGTTCACAGCATAAATTCTTATTGTATATATACAAAAATAATATCTATCTTCTGGAATTCTATATTAGCTACGCTACAAAGTAGATCATCTAATCTGATAAACATTGAAAAGAGAACGATGAAAGTAATACTTTTCAAACTCCTCGCTTGGGATCAAGAGTTGGGTTAACAAAAAACCACTACAATCTTCTTTACTATAAAGATGCTATTTTTCTAAAGATGCTATAAAGATGCTACAATCTTCTTCTTTTTTTTTTCTTTTTTTTTCCTCAGGTTCGAGTCCTTGGTTGCTCATATGATGGCCACTGGAGGTTTACATGGTCGTTAACTTCAGGGCCCGTGGGATTAGTCGTGGTGCGCACAAGCTGGCAAGGACATTCACGTTAATCTAAAAAAAAAAAGATGCTATTTTTCTCTCTTGTAGCGTACCAAACCAGACAAGGACTTTTTTCTTTTCTTTTTTTTCTGTACATGATGATTCTGGAGACCCTTAGCTTTTTTTACTGGGTTTACCTTTTCTTAAGAGCAATGGATGCGTATTGCTTAACTGTTGATGATGTGATTCGAGAGTTGAACTAGTGTAATTGAATGGTTTATTTCTAAAGCCGGCGGCAGATGAAACATGGCTGGCTCTGTTAATGATGCAATGCTCGAACCTGTAAGAACTGGAAAGGCTTGAAATCGTGGGTTTCAGGGCTCAAACCAATGTCCAGATTCTGCTAGAAGATTAGCATCTGCCGTTATTTGGGCTCAATTAGACTCAAAGCACATTTGTATGCATACTACTTTTTGTAACTCGTGCTAATTTATTTGAGACCATGTTCACCTGAGATTTTCTCTTGAGATTTTCGCTACTGGATCCTGGGGAATTTCAACCTCAAAGCTCCCTGGAGGCTGCTGTATAACATCTCTCACTTTTCTAATTACAAACAAGTGGGCAAGAAGATAGATTCCCCTCCCGAATATCAGTCGGCTATCCAATTCCGGGTTAGCTATCCAGTTTCCTTCCCTTACCCGGTATTTGTTGAAAAATGAAAATCCTATAGAGCAAAAGAGCTGCTTCGTGATCCCTAGGTTGCAGCACGCCTCATTCACTCTTCGTGCCGCCGCCGCTGTCTGCAGGACCGACCGACTCCTCAACTGAGTAGATTGTTAAGTGAAGAGAGTGTGCAAATAGATTGGTCCATAGCCAATGTATTTTTAATTTTTTTTGCCTTATGGGATGTTTTTTAAAAACTTTTGGATATTTGTTATGGGATGATTAGTTCATTAGCTGTGGTCTACAAGTATATTGTATTATTGTTAAGGCCCTGCCTCATGATCGGCAGCGGCATCAATCGATGAAGGCATCAATTTCAGAGATGGATGATCAGGGCATGATCAGAGGTTTAACCGTGTTCATAAAAACAAAAGACAGCTCCATGACATCTCTTTGTGACGGTTCTGTAATGATAAAAGTGGGGTATCAGCACAAATCAATAATGGTTAATTCAAAAGCACATTTTATCATCATAATCATGGATTAGGTGAGTTAAGTAAAAATCTTTTATTAAAAATAATCTGAAACGTCATTTAGGAGGTAAAAAAACCGTCAAATTACTTGGTTTTTTTTTCAGTCAAGTGGATCGGCAGTTTAATTAGTGAAGACAAGCCAAGGCTACTACTACAATTTTTATTCTTTAAATTCCCAATTTTCAAAGCAAAATGTTCTTAATCGTTAAAGTGATTTTTTTTATTTTTTAAAATTTATTTTTGATATTAATATATCAAAACAATTTAAAAATACTAAAAACTATAAATAAAAAATAAACAAATTATTTTTTTACAAAAATATCTTAATCAGTCCTCGTAGTCTGGTTTGCTAACGGTATGGAAACGTGGCGAGCGCTGCTTTGCCGTAACTGCAGATCTAGAATGCTATAAAAGAAGTTGCTTGTAAGTCGCGTTTTCTTTTTGAACCATGACCGCAGCGTGCAAGCAATTGCTAACTACTTTGTCGCTTGCCCTTTTTTCTTTTCGAGGCATCATGTCACTGTGACCGAAAGTACCCACCCTCACACTTCTTTGTCGGAAAAACTTTGGAAAACCCTTGAGAGATCATAATTTTTCACGGCATCAGGTAAGGCAATTGATGCACACTTGGGATTCCTCTCTCAGCCTTTTGCGTGTGTGCATGGGTGTGGATCGTTATTTTCAGTTGCCACAATCACTTGTTTCATGCCTTGTCGAAACTCGCAAAGAAAGCAACAGATTAAGATCATAGAGACCCAGCTAGCTCCAGCACAAAGCTTCCCGTGTAGTAAGCTCAAAACTATGGCACCGATCACCACCCTTTTCTTCTTCGTCTTTTCTTGGTTTTATGTTCTCTCCACTCCTCGAGTATTACCACACCACATTTTGAATTTTCAGGACTCCCCTTCGTTCCCTACTCTGGGATATGGTCTCATATTCCAGGGTTTTTCAACCCTCTATTGATTTGATGAGTACATAGGGCTTGCATGTCTTCCGCCATAATTTGTTAAACATGTATAGAGGCTGCTCCAGCAAAGCTAGTCTGCAGATCTTGCTTTCTTCCCCAGTCTTGCAGTAAATCCGAGGCAAATAATGCATTTTTCCTTGATCTCAGTCTTCAGTATGTCTCAGCATGTTCGTTTTCATTTATATCTTGTATTTCGTTGTTCTGACATTTGCAAGCACATCATAGTATATTGCATGTTGAAGGTTTTTTGATATTAATGAACTAGTCTTGAGTTTAGTGTAATATAATGCATGGAGCCCAACTGTTGTAATTGAGCTGGCTGGAAGTAGTCAGATTTTCCCTATTTTTATTGCTTGTCCGATAAATTTAAAACCTACTAAGGATTTATCTGATGGGAAGCTGAATTTACAACTCTGTATTTTGCTATATCCTTTTTAAACCTCATCTATAAGTCAGGAAAGAAAAATTGAAGTGCTAGTTCCCACCTAAAAAGTTTTAATGGTTACCTTGCTATCACTACAAAGTGCTCACACCTCCCTTGTATGCAGTTTATGGAGAATATGTAACAGCATCGAAGCTCTAACACCAAAAATCATGGTCCCAATTTATCCTGTTACTGCCATGTATCAAATTTCCAATCAAATGGTTACCCCATGTCATACTAGATGCAGCAATTTACGACACAAAAAAATTGAGACTCTCCGCCTGCATAAATTCATTTTGGTAGAGATCAAGGATCGGATAGCTAAACAGATGAAGCATCAAGCTATCAATCATCATTGTTTTGATTGGTTACCATGCGCATATTTTAAAATCAGATGAATTATTCCATTACTCAATGTTTTTGCCTGTTATTTTTCAAATCTAGAGGTTTTCAAGTAAGCAAGAAACTGACACTGAGATAAGCATGCTTCATTAGTGCACTAAAATATTGCCTATCCACATTGGAATGCATATTAGCAAAGACAGTACACGTTACCTCAAATTGCAGTATTTTGGATAGTGATGTCGCAAAACTTGATGATTAATCGTGCACAACTGACCTGCCATCTCTCAATGTGTGCCTCTTGCACGTGTGTCGGTCCAAAGTAGACAAGCCAACAAATCTTCATAACTCAAAGTTGGTAAGCTGTTGTTAAGGGGGGAAAACGCACTATTTAAAAATGGCATTATCACGTGATTTAAACATGTAAAATCATCAAGTTATGCATATAATATATTATCATAACAAAATGCTTATGTTTGTACCGAAAATATTCAAAGCACTGCACTAATCAGCAGGGGAGGAAGGACAGTGATCGGGCTGAGTTATCTCCATGCTGCTAACAACCCAAGTTGCTCTAATCTGGTTCCACTCAAACTGCCTAACCCTGTTCCTCACTTTCTGATCAAATCTCATAATTCGTCTACTTAATAACAATACTAATTAAAAAACATAAAGAAGAAGAAGTCAGAGTGCAGAAGATGCAATGCAACCTGCACCAACAAGAAGGGGTCATCGTTTGTTTAATATCAGATACATTTGACTTTTCTCATAGCTGCAGGTAGAAAATAACGAAAAAAGACACCTACACAAGTTCATCTATTCAAACTGTAGCGAGATGCCCCAGCTCATCAATTCCTAATTGCATCAGTTTTGAAGTTGCCCACTAATTTCGAGCATCTTTAAGTGGGAGCTTTCAACAATTTGTTAACTTTCATAAACTATATAGCTATACAATTCATGCCTTGGTGCAGACTTCAGGCTTCAATGATCCTAATTCTTTCAGGGGAGCTGTTATCTCTTTTACTTCACAACTCCTTTGCTGGCAGTACATGATTAATCCAGAGATCAGAAAGTGCTATTTTCAGAGCATCCAATATGCCTCGTCTCAACATAACACAAACAGACCGCTTCCATTAGGAGTCCAAACATAGAAATCCATCCAATCCTTGTCAAGTATTGCGATTAAAACATCAGCTTGTGGAACACAATAAAGAGGGATCTGCTTCCAAGGTGAAGCCCTGCACATTTCTCCTTTAAAAAATGGACATTTTATTTCCAACACTCCTCTGGAGTTCAACCCAGAACACTTGTCAACTAGCCCATCAGATGAAAGCTGCAAGCCAATCATCGTCTAAGCTGTTTTTACCGTGGACCTGAAACTTGGGAAACAAAACTATATTTCCTGTAATCAACTTATATCTTTCAAGTGCTTCCTCTTCTTTGGCATTGGTCCAACAGATAGCCACGTTACCATAAAATGGTTCTTTTGCACCAAGTTTCTCTAACCAGAGCTGGACTCTCCTGTGACGCCAGAAACCAATTGCCCCACTGAAGCTTTCTTTGATCTTACCATTTTTTTAACCTGTGCTGAAGACAACTGGATTGAAAAATTGATGTATAAGGGCTGCTTGAATTTCTTGAATGGGAATGATTATAGATTTGAGTATTGGCAGGGTGCCCTTCACCAGATGGATCCAAAAAAACCTGGCGAAAGTAGTTTCTTGAGTTGCTAATATCAACCATAAAAAGAACTATACTACAATTATATTTGCTGTTGTGATATGAAAGTTGAAAAATGACATGGAAACACGATACAAGTTCTTCACTTTCAAACAAAAAAATAGCAGTACGACCGAAGAAATGACAAAAAATATTAGGCACATAATCAAAATTACAAGATACATCATATCATCTAATTAAATCTCTATGTAAACATAAGAAATTAATCAGACCATTTTATGTAGCAAATTATGCTAACTCTACAAAATATGATGCGATTATCAAGCTTTGGTATCAGACCCTGTCCGAATGATCAGAAACTTGTTCCACATGCATAACATAGGTGCAAGATTTCCTCTAAGATATAAAGGCATTACAACCATCCTAGGAAAAGTCAACTAATTTTATATTTTTCTGTAAAATATATGAACCAAGGTAACGGTGAAGCAACCCAATATTGCTTGTTCCCCTTCCATGTTTACAAAGTTATGTCTATTTTCAAATTATACTGAAACACAGTTATGCAATTTGGCAACTTTAGACTCTATTGTATAATCACAAAGTAATAGAAAATAAACTGACACAATAGCAGTTAAAAGCCACAACTCGCCCACCAAATATGTCAGTCACACAATTAAATCACCTACTTGCAACCAATCACAAATATGTGAAATCAACAAAAAACTGCTCCATTTCGATTCCTTAAACAAGAAAACTTAACATATATGCGTGTGGAAATGAGCAGTGACTGACCGGGCAAGTTTGCGAAGAGGAATCCGCAGTATAGAGACACCAAACAGGCTTTACTGAGGAACATTAGCAGCTTCAGGGTGTCTGAAACAGGAGGTATGGTATCGTTTGTTTAATCTATTAGATTGCAGAGAGACAGCAGGGTGAAAGGGTTTTAGAATTGAGGTTTAAGAGGCAGATAGGCCTTTTCTGTGTATGTGCATAGGCTTTAAGCGAGTGAATTATAAATTAGTCACTTGTAGTTTTCAAAACGAATCAAATAATACTTGTAGTTTTAAAGACTAATTAATTAGTCTTAGACTATTAAGCACTTGACAGCTCTGTCAAATTTACATATAATATGTAAAATACATTTTAAGAAAAGGAGGAAGGAGGGAGAGGTCGAGGGAAAAAGGAGGAGAGATGGGGAAAGGGAAGAGAAAAGATACGAGAAGAAGGAAAAGAGGCGGGGGTAGGAGATGTGTAAGTAGAGAAGCGATGATTGTTGTGTTGGTAGAGAAAAGATAAGGAGGACGAGAGAGAGGGAATTGAAAAGGGAAGGAGAGAGGAGGTGAGAGAAGCGAAGGGAAGGACGAGACAGAGACGGCGGCTGCGAAGAGGGG